ACGAGGATTAATTTTCCTGAGGGTTCCAATAGCATTTGGCACATAGATGGTAATCATAAATTAATCAGATGGAGGCTTGTGACGCATTGAGGGATTGATGGCTTTTCATGTACTGTAGTGTATTCAAAGTGTTCTGCCAACAATAAATCAATCACAGCATTACATGCTTCAGTTGCTACTTATGGTATTCCTCATAAGGTTTGATCATATCTCGGTGGTAAAAACATATAAGTTTGGAGAAATATGATTGATCAACACAAATCTTACAAAGCAGTAGTGATTACATCATATCCACACAGTGAACAATGGAAAGACTCAGGAGAGATGTACACCGTTGTGTAGCATCAGTTTTTTACCAACATTTTAGGCTTTTGAAGAAAAGTGAGAGTATGATCCTGTAAATCAAGTCAATTTTTATTGCAGAGGTAAATTTAGCATGGAATGCCCCTCAGATTTTGGTTATTTCTTAGAGAAATTATTGCAAATACTTTACAGTAAACAAACCTGCCAACCATTACTCACTAGTCTCCAGTGCTCAGTGAAGCAGTACAGAAGGATTTCAGTCATATCTGAGTCCAGCAGTCAATCCACAAAATGAAACTCACTTGTCCCTTACTCAAGACAATCTAGTTGATAAGAAGTTATGTTTATTAATGTTTTAAAGTGTAGGTAAAGAATGACAGAATGGATAAGGTCATGAATCGGTTGAATACCATTCTGGATTATATGAGGAAGTTGAAGTCGAGCATATCAACGGTGTTTGGCCTAGTTTTCTAAATTTCAGTGAGTTTGTAGTAATAATTAGAAAGTATACGGTAACTCACGACAACTATGGGTTCGGCTCTTACTTTCTATATAAGCTCTGACCTGGTGAGACCACGTTGGCCTTTTAATAATGACATTTTAACATTAATTTTAAATACAAACCACTGAAATGATGGGAAATCTCGCATTTTAAGGCCTTTCTACACTTGAACCAGTTGAAGAAGTCGGCTCATTAATGCACATTGACAGATTCCACACCTAAACTTATTTTTAATAAAAATCCATTGTAATTAATTATTTGTCACGTGATGTTACATTGTTGCTAGGCAACACGTGCGCTACTATAATGTATAGATATGCATAATGGAAGGACTTCTTGGAATAGCACTAATGCTCTTATTTGAATTTATAAGAATCCACGAAAAATGTAAAAGACAAAGAATACTGATACACATGGAAATGAGAAGAAGGTTAACGTGAGATATTGGTACTTATTCTCTTAAATTTACCGTTTTCATGCCACTTTCAGAGCTCATATCATAGCATTGGTGTGCAATAGGTCACTAGCAGCAAAGCAGCCTCGCAGTAATTGGTGTAAACCAAGATCAAGAAAGTTTTGGAAATCAGCAAATGCAGGACAGTTTGGTAATGATTGGTGGAGAGAGAATTTATGAATGAATGAGGAGACTTTTTATATAATATGCCATAAACTTAGGCCCTACTTAAGTAAAAAAATAACAATTAGAAAACCTATCTCCGCTGATGAACGAATAGCTGTAACCATTTGGAGACTGGCAACTATGTAGAATACAGATCAATAGGCTGTTTATTTGGTTTGGGCACATCTACTGTTGGAAAAATAGTACTGGAAACTTGCCATGTTATTGTTCAAGTCCTTTTGCCAAAAGTTAAGTTTCCTTCATCTTTATCTTCTATTAAAGATATAGTTCATGGATTTGAGGATCGTTGGGGATTTCCACAGACCGTAGGAGCAATAGATGGGTCTCACATTCCAATATTGAAGCAATCTGAGTCTGCTTCAGACTATTTTAATAGAAAATGCTTTTATTCTATTATTATTCAAGCAGTTGTTGATTTCCGTGGCCGTTCCTTGGATATAAATATTAGATGGCCAGGAAAAGTTCATGATGCTAGGGTATTTGCCAATAGTTTGTTTTTTCGTAGAGTCAATAGTGGAGATTATTTACCTGATATGAAATGGCAGATTAATGGAGTAGATGTTCCTCTCTGCATACTAGGAGATCCTGCATATCCACTATTAACATGGCTTATGAAGCCTTATCCAGATTCTGAACAGTTGACAAACAAACATAGAATCTACAACTACCAACAGGGCAGGGCAAGGATTGTGGTGGAAAATGCTTTTGGTTAGTTAAAGGGAAGATGGCGAAGTTTATTAAAGAGAATGGACTACTATAACATTGATAATATAATCACTGCTTCTGCTTCATGCATCACCCTACATAATATGTGTGAATTATATGGGGATACTTGTGATCCTAGCTGGTTTTATGTGGAGCCACTTTCTTGCCATCAAAGCTCATCCGCAGCACTACAAGTAACAACAGACACACAGTTAGCTAAAAATATTCGTGATGCTTTAGCTGAATATGTCTCATGTTAAGCAAGACCTGCATAATATTCTAATAATTATTTAATCTACATTATTAAACCATTATTACTTTATTATTACATGTATAAATTATAATAATTATAGATATTATAGCTGCAGTATTCTAATTATTGTAAGTTATAATCCATGTTAGGGTCATATGGTGGGAAGTTATAACTATTTCGTTGCATTAATCTTATGATGTCGCTAAACATAGCGAATATTTGTTGCTCACGTCTTTCTTCTAATTCTAATCTTTTTTCTTCTAATTTCATAAATTTATCAATTTTGCCACTATCATTTCTTCTCTTTCCTGCCACAGTAATAACAATAATAATATTGATAATAATAATGTTAATAATAATAATAATCATGGTATGCATGGCACAAAACTGAATGCATATACTTTTCCCTAATTTTCCAGTCCTGCAGTAGTTTTACGTGTAATCGCTGGATGAGAATTCATTCCAGAGCTTGATGCACTAGTCTCTTCTAGTACTGCTGTGGTCTCAGACAGTGGCTCACAACTAGATTCTCCAGTGGCTGCAGACAATTCAGGGTCATCATTTTCGGCTTCCTCATCATATGGCTCACCTATAAATTTCAGCATCTATTATAGCTATATCTATTTACTTGTAAGAGTGACAGCAACATTAGAACTATCATTCTCTAAAATAATACTGGGCTGTGTGACATCCTAGTATTTTGTCTATCTGTTCATAATATGGACAGCTTTTGCGATCAGTACCAGACACAGTATGACCATCTTTAATCTAAACCAGAGCACTTTTTTAACAAGATCAAGTTAAATCTAGCAACTGACTTTTCTATATCTTTGGGTCAAGTTCTTGACTTTAGTCCGGCACTGTTTCCAATTATAATTAAAGCTTTTTTCTTTAAGTTTTGATGAAATTTTTTCATATATTGAACGATTTCTTGCTACCCCATCTAGCTGTTTCTGCACATTTTCATCTCCCCATATAGCAAGAAGAGCTGCAGTAGGTTCGGCAGACCAGCCAGCCGCCATATTTTGTGCTGATAGCTAGCTACTATTATACTAATAGTATTCATTGCTCATCGAATCACAAGACAAACCTTGATGACGCGTTAATTGTTGTTGCAATGCGCATCTAAACCACATATGGAGGTGGTTTGGCTTAATGCGCATTGGAGTCAATGTGCATCAGGTGTGGAATGACTGGAACCGGTTCCAAACCAGTTCAATGTGCATTAGAAGTGCTAGTGTAGAAAGGCCTTTAATGATTTTATATTATAGACCTCTTTAAGTAATAATTGCTTACATATATATATTCATATGGCATGGGCGGTGTAATTAGGGGTGTGGTTGGATGTCATCATTTTGGACAGCAACATGGTGTTTCACTGCTGTGCATTTCGATGTACTAATCGCCAAGGAAAAGCTGGAATTAGGTTTTTTCAATTTCCAATGGAAAACAAAATAAGTGGATTGCAGCTATGAAAAGGAAAAACTGGATCCCTTCTGAGTATTCAAGGCTCTCTAGTGCTCACTTTGTCACAGGTATTATACATGCATACAGGTTGAGCCAACCATGGATGTCATACTTTGCTTTTGTAGGGAAACACTCTAGAGACCCAGTCATCCATATTATATTCCTAGTTTGTTTTTAATAATCCGGTAAAAGGAGCGGGGCTATAAAAAAACATCTAGACGTAAAGAACAATTTCTTCATCATCGTATGTTAACTTGAAAAACTGACAAGTGAGGGATTGTTTATATCCATCTTTTACATATTGTTTCCTGTAGGAAAAGGGTATCTACAGTTTCTGATAAAGAAAGTGCCACAGATACTGTTGATTGTGACGAGGTTCTTGACAGTCACAATGATGCTAATGACGATGAATATGATAATGGAGAGATACTTGAATATGATGATAATACGACAAATATGAATATGACGATGTGTATGAATTTGAAGATATGATGGATGACAAATATGTGTATATGCTTAACAATCAACAAGGAGAAGTGATCAATGCTGAATGTGAATGGGGAGATCTGATCAACACTGAATATATAAGCAATAACTTTACTGCCAACAACTTTGAAGAAGTGAGTGTGGATGCATGAATCTGAAGATTATAAGTATGAAAACAAATTTGAAAACTTTTATCTAAGTGAGATAGAACTTGATTGTGACACTGATAACTATCTGGAAGAAAGCGATTTTACATTGGTCAACAGTGGTGATCGAGAAGATCAAAGTTTTGATGAAGAAAGCAGTAAAGAGGCTACTTATATGGGAAGGATACATGAAATTGACTTAGAATTAGAGTCGAAAGAGACTGAAATAGGAGAGCATCACCTTAAAATTGAGCAACTAAAGGAGACCATTACCAGATATGAGAGGAAACATGTGTAAAAGCAGGAGAATCTTTACTCACACAGGAAAATGCAATGCTAAAGTCATCCAATAGTCAAGCACAATGGCTGGAACAATGAGATTTTACATTCCAAGTTGGAACACCATTCATTTGGGGCAAGCTGCATTAAGGACAATGAAAAAACAAATTTCTACACTGGACTTCTATACTATTACTATGCCTCTTCAATCTGTAAAAACCTCTTCTTAAGTCGACTATTTCAAGACACCCTCTTGTAGAGGAATTCTTTGTGACTCTAGTCAAACTTGGTCTTGGTGTACCACATATGGATTTGGCATCTTCAATGGATGTTGGTGAGGGATGCATTAGTACTATCTTTAGCCGGTGGATTAATGTAATGAGTGTCGAGTTCAAATGTCTTATATCATGGCCTGACAAGGAAACATTGCTACACAATTTGCCTAAATCATTTCGAAAGCACTATTCTAATGTATAGTGTATCATTGATTGCTTTGATGTATTCATTCAATGACCTACCAATTTAATGGCTAGAGCACAAACATTCAGCAATTACAAATAACAAAACACTATGAAAGTCTTAATTGGAGCATCACCTACAAGCACTATCTCTTTTATCTCAGATGCATGAGAGGATGGGTATCTGATCAAGTAATAACCCAGCAATTTGGTTTTTTAAGAAGGTAGAACATAGTGATTGTATTATGGCTGATAGTGGTTTCAAAGTCAGCTAAGATCTTGCAATTTGTAGAGCAAAGCTGTTGATTCCTGCTTAAACTAAAGGCAAGACACAACTCTCAGCGTCAGAAGTAGACAAAACGAGGCAACTAGCTCATGTTAGGATCCATGTAGAGACAGTTATTGGTCAGCTGGGGAAGAAGTATAATATTTTACAACAAGTTCTATCTATCAGTCCCTTTATGCAACCAACTGATACCAATAGAGCTAACTCTCTTTTTGATTGAATTCTGATTGTGACAGCTGGATTAACAAGTTTATCACCTACCGTAGTGTCAAATTAATTATATCACATTTAATATTTATTATTGAATAGGATTTGTGTTCTTACGAAATTAAATGTTATAATAATAAAGACAAATAATTATGTTAGCTTTATTTACGAGGAAAACACTATTTGCCTTTAGGTTCATGTTTAATTCCAATACATACAGAATAATACCATTCAGCAGTACACTATGGATTGTCACAAGCAATCATGCGTCCTGAACGATCTTCTCCTGTCAGAGCGATCCTTCATCACTCTTGACTCTGTCTGCTATCACTTTCTTTTTCCCAGGTACATGCTTTGCTGTCAGAAGTATGTCCCTCTATAGGCATCACATCCACAGCTCTCTTGCCAGTTTGGTAGCCGGGGCAGAGACTATACCACCCAAGTTGTTCACATAAGCCACAGGTTGTGTAGGAGCAGTAGTACAGTCTTGTTGCTTTGGCCTTCATGAAGGTTTTGACTGCTAGGGTTGCTGCTTGCAGCTCTACGCTGCTTATGTTCTGTTATCGCTTCAGCTGTGACCAAAGGGCCACCAGTTTGTGTCCCTTAGCATGATACTCTCACCCATTGAGGGATGTTCTATCTTGAAGCCTGGTTCCCTTAGGTCCAGACTCTTCCCATTCCAGCTCATTAGCTAAGTGTTCCGCCATTCCTGCTCCTCCATGGCAGCTGATGATTAGCTGCACGGAGTGTCGTATCACTGGTTGCTCTGGTCTCTTAGAGCCTTAAACAAATCTCTCTGTAATGCCTTGCAAAATTGTGGGGCTGGAGGATTTGCTTTGGAAACTGATTTGAATTTCCCCAGTAAGCGTGACACTTCTTGAGCAGTATGAAGAGCTAGCTTGTCTCTGATCATCATGGCTGCCTCTTTTCTCAGTTTCTTTATTACCTGGCCTAGGAGGCGTATCTCTCTCGTTCCCGAGTTGACCATCATTCCTAGGACTTCTATTTTTTGGGTTGGTTGTCTGACAGATTTGTCTGGACGTACTACATAGCTCAGTTTCTCCAGGAGGTATATCAAAGCCTCTGTGTGGTGTTGCATTTTTTCCACTTTCTTTGCCAGGACTAGAATGTCGTCTATGTATGCCGCAAGCCTGACACCTAGTTCTCTGAGCAGGGTTAGCCAGGGTCTTGGTAATGACCCAGTGAGCACGGGACAGGCCGAATGGCAGGTAATTGACCTGGAAGTCTTGGCTTTCTGTGGAAAAGCGTAGAAATTGTCTGTCTGACTGGTGAATTGGGATTGTCAAGTATGCAGCCTTCAGATCCACTTTCATCATCCAGTTCCCTTCCTTTGGAATGTCCCTCGGAGTATGGAGACCCTACATCTTGAAATTGTAGGGTGGCACAAAAGCAGTCAGATCCTTCACTGCTCTCTTGCCCCCATGTTTTTTCGGCACCAGAAAGAGACAGGAGTAAAAACTCTGGCGATTCTTGCTGAGGCAAATTTTGAAAATGGCCCTTTGGTGACCATTTTTATGTCTGATCTGGGGTTGAGGACATGCCTAGCTACTCTTGGCTGTCCCTGTTGTGTGGGGTTTATCAAAAATTCCTCTTTGTACCCCCTTAGTCCTAAGATATATTTGACAAGTTGTCCTCAAAAAGAGCATGTCTTCCCGCTATTAGTGTTTCTCCCACTTCTAGTGGAGTTACACCCCTTTGAACCAATGTACTAAGTCTTAAATTTTTTAATAAAAATATATCTATGCATGATTTGAAGTCTTCCTTTCACACAATGGTTCATGGATACTATTTCCTGGCTGAGGGTTATTATTTCCTCTTTTGCCAGGGTCTCCCTCAGCTTGACTGGCCACCACCTCTTGGGGGGGCAGTGAGATGGCCTCTTTGAAAACCTTTTTGCCAGAGGCTGAGAAGTCCTAGAGATGGCAAGGAGTTTTAGGGACTCTACCTTCTACTTCATTTTGACCTCAAACCCTGAACCAAGGAGGTCGGGGCAGCTGACTGGAAGATGTTCTCCTCTGCCAGGTCCAATATGTCCCAATTCACTGACTTGACGATCTTCCTTCTCATGAGCCTTGACATCCCAGCAGAAGCAATCCCTAACAAGCGGATCGCATTACTGACAGCAAGATTTGCCTCATCATTGGATATCTATCCTGTATCAAAGGAGTGAAGCAGACAAATCAAAGGACAGGCTGGGTTGTGAATTAGCACCTCAACACGTGCTAATTTGGTATCCACTGTCTTTGTCTCCTTGTGAATGGATGCCTCCTTGAAAATGGGATCCAGCTTAGGACACTGGGTGTCCTGAAGCTGCGGGGAGGGAAGCCACTCTTAAGCCTCTTACAGCTGTTGGAGGATAGCACTTTCCTATAAGTGGAGGTGACCAGCTGTATTGTCTCCTCTGAGAGCTGGATAGGGACTTGACTAAGGATCTCCATCTCTAACATATCTCCCTGTTTCTCCTCGTCACCTGACACTGGCCAGGAGACATCTGTAAGGCTTTCTAAGCCTGACATGTCCCTGTCCACTAAATGGGATGAGGACGACTCAGTCGCCTTCTTTTGAGTGACTGGGGTGCCTGCTCTTACAGGCAACTGACCCTCTTAAATGTACTCTGTAACATGTCTCTGATGGAATTTTCCATCTTCTAAAGTTGGGCAATTATCTTAGCA